AGTCACACACACAGGATTTAGCTTTTAAAATACTTCTGGTCTAGGGTGGCTCAGTGGTTGAGCATCTACCTTCAGCTCAGGGCATGATCCTGGGGTCCTGGGATAGAGTTTCGCATTGGGATCTGCTGCAGAGAGCCTGCCTCTCCCTCTGCCTATGTCTCTGCCTCTCTCTGTGTCTCGCATGAATAAATAAAATCTTTAAAAATAATAATAAAATGAAATACATATGTTATGCTCAGAGAAATAAGTCTATACAATCTCACTCATATGTGGAATTTAAGAAACAAAACAGGATCACAGGGGGAGAGAGGGAAAAATAGAACAAGATGAAATCACAGAGGGAGACAAACCATAAGAGACTCTTAACTCTAGGAAACAAACTGAGGGTCCCTGGAGGGGCAGGGGGGTAACTGGGTGATGGGCATTAAGGAGGGCACGTGATGGAATGAGCACTGGGTGATACATGCAATGATGAATCACTGAACTCTACCTCTGAAACTAATAATGCACTCTGTTAATTAATTGAATTTAAATAAAAGAAAATTTAGAAAAATTAAAAATAAAACACATGTGTTAAGGAACTGACTCTAGAGATTGCTCCCAGGAGGGAAGCTGTTTGATTAAAAGAGATTTCCACTATATACATTTTGGTACTACATGAATTTTACACCACATGCGTGTATTTCCATACAAACAAACAAAAAGTAAATCTAGCAAAACCTTGGCTCAATTTAATGAGTAACCAAGGTAATAGAGAAACCCACTGAATATATTCTGTATGACTATCATCTTCCCCATATTTAGTTCCCCAATATTTCTTACATTATAGTAAAATTCATTCAAACAGTTAACAAAAGATCGAAAAAGGGGTAGGGGAAGAAAGGAGGATAGATAGGAAAGGAAAGGAACATGGGCAGGTATAATAAAATTTGTGATTTGTGCTTAGTCAACTTCACTTTCAAGGCAGGCAGACAGGTGCAGAGGCCAGAAGTCACACTAAAGAGCTAGATAAATATCTGGATCAAAAGGTACATAACAGAACATGAAGAAAGACATCAAGTCAAGGGCAAATTATCAATTGGTAACATTTTTAAATACTTTATTGAGGGGTTTTCCGTATCACAATAACTTAGGAGAAAAGGAAGAAGAAAAGCAAGGCAAGCTGTCACCTACTGGTCTATATCCACCAGCGACACATACATTAGATGATAGATACATAGATAGATGATGGATAAGTAAAATACATTTATTTTGAATCTTTACATATTACATATATTTTGGTAAGCCTTGGTTACAAAGTAGAAATACAGAAAAATTTGTCATCGCAATATGCAGTGGCAAGCCGACTTTCCCAGTGCAAGTTCAGGCTTTGTCCAGAAGAGGGAGATGTGAAACTATAAATTGCATCATGGTTTGTCTAACTTTTTGCTCCTGATCTTTCCAGGCTGAGCAACTAGAGGGAAGTCCGGGTTTGGGGCAGGGGAGCTGTCAGCGTCTGGATAGGTAAGCCTGTGTCTCCTGCGCTGCCGCTCTGGGATCTCAGAGCACCCGGGCATGACATTCTCTGTCAGGTTCCTGTCCTTTACAACCTGGGAATCAAGATGACATGCTTACCGTTAGTTTTCATTCTTTTCACACAAACTGGTTAGAATACATAATGTGTTCACTGTTTAATGAAAAATGGGTTTACATTATTGACGTTTACGCAATCAGAAATAGGGAAGCAGGAAATTTCTGTGAAAAGAACAGTGTTCAAGTTTCCAGAATTTTGATAGTTTTTCATTCTTTTTATTGTAAAAAGACAAATGTGATTACTTATATTTTATTAAATGTAATACAGTGAGAAGTTCCTCATGTACACTTCACTTGAAGTTACTTGAATAAATAAACCCCACTTAAATAACCATCAAGGCCTAGAGGGGCTCAATTATATTTTCACATGGGAAGTGGAGTCAGTCTCCTAACTTGTTTCATGTGATCCAGACAATTCAAGGAAGAGGAAAGACAAACGGCCAATAAACATATGTAAACATATTCATCCTTGCTAGGGAAATGCAAACTGAAATAAAAAGGAGATACCATTGTAGGCTCATCATATTGGCGAAAATTTAAAAGTCACATTTGAATATGGAGGAAAATGGACACCTTCATGCACTGCTGGAGACACTTCATGCACTGCTTAAATTGCTATAGCCACACTGGAGAGCAGTTTAACACATATACTAAAGTTAATGATGCATATACCCTGCAATCGGCCGGTTTCACTCCCCTTAAGTTGAAAACCTGGCTGCACATTTGACTCATTATCCCAGTGGGTTATCAGCCCACCACCCTATGAGAAACTCTTGCACGTGTGCACAAGGAAACAAATTCAAAAATGTTCACAGCAACCCTATTTATTGCAGCCAAAAATTGGAAACAACATGAATGTTCATCAAACAGATGAATAGTGAAATAAAATACATGGTAAAATCATTCAGTAGAAAACTAAAGAAACTACGGGATGGGGAGAGCCTGGGTGGCTGAGTCTGATAAGCATCTAACTCGATTTCAGCTCAGGTCACGATCTGAGTCAGGAGATGGAGCCCTGAGTCGGGCTCTGCCCTGAACATAGAGCCTGCTTAAGATTCTCCCCTCTCTCTCTCCCTGTACCCACCTCCCCACCCCACTTGCACTCTCTCTCTCAAAAAAAAAAAAAAAAAAAAAAGAAACTGCAAAGTACAGATGCATGCAGAAACATAATTGAATCTCCCAAATATAATTTTGAGTGGCAATACTCAACACACGCAGTGCAATTGCACACGGCAGTTAAAATGAATGACTTAAGCCTATATGTCAAAAAAAATAAAAAGCCTATATGTCAATCTTATATTTGTCTTCCGTGACTGATATAAAAAATTGCTAAAGATCGAATAGCTTAAAATAACACAAATATATTATCTTACATTTCTGGAGATGAGAAGTCTGAAATGGGACTCATTAGTCTAAAATCAAGGTGTCAGGAGGGCTGGGTTCCTTTCTGAAGGCTGAATGGGAAAATCTGTTTCCTGTGTTGATTTTGCTTATTCTCTATGCTTTCTGTATACTGGGAAGAGTTCATCATTTAAGATAAAATGATTCTGGGGGCACCTACCATTCTATCTATCTATCATTCAGTAGAGCATTTGACTCTTATCTCTCAGAGTTGTGAGTTCAAGCCCCATGTTAGGTATAGAGATTACTTAAAAAAAAAAAAAGAAATGAAATAAAAATAGAATGCTTACATGCATCCCCATGACACTGTCTCAGTGGAATACTCATGCAAACTGACTAATACTGTGGAAATTTTATTTATCATTTTGTTCCTTTTTTTTTTTTTTTTAAGTAGGCTCTAACACAGGGATCGAACTTACCACCCTGAGATCAAGACCCTCCAGCCAAAGGTGCACTGCTCTCATTCCAGAATCTGGTGCATCACTAGGGCACTGGTCACCATGCAAAAACCTCTGGCCAAATGGGGCCACTGGAAGCACAGGTGCCCCAGCTGAGGAAGTAGATGATTCTAATGACTGGGGAGCAGCTGACACATTCTAAAACGTGCTACTGATCATAAAATTATCTTACAATTCCTAAAGAATTCAAAGAAAACCCCATTTCATTCCCTTACACCTGTTTTTGTGAAACAGTTTTCTCAGCCTTTCCATTTATCATAAACAAAAGAAAAATGGAAAGAGAATTCATTCAACCTCCTGTCTTATTTTAGAAGTAAAAACCATCCAAAGAAATATGAACTAATTAGGAAATTAAAGCTCCATCCATTTCCCTAAAAGATGCTTCTCCAATAAAATTTTACCTTTTATGTTTAATAATTATTTTGTGAGATTTGTAACATATTGTTTCATTGATTGTGTAATACTAATGATTTTAATAATAACTCAAGACAATATTTTTTTAACACTGCAGAGTCCTGTAGTCAAAAGAAAGAAAAGAAATTTTAATGAATTAAAACTTATTTTACATATATTTTTATCACGTGGATTTATGACAAAAAAAGGCTCAAGACAAGCAAACATTTCCAAATATAAAATATAATCTGTTAAGATAAAATTCTATGGGGAAAGTAGAATGGAAAGATGGATTCGAAGAGCTAAAAGAATAGTGTAAAATTCCTGTCTGTTGAAAAGAGCTAATCCAAGGATTTTTTTTATAAAGGTGAGTTACCAAATCACTATGGTAGTTAGATTCCATTGGATACATTTTATTTTTTTCAGAGTAGAGTTGACATACAATGTTGTATTAGTTTCAGGTGTACAACGTGGAGATTCAACCCATTGGGTATATTTTAAAATAGGAAATGACAGTTAATGTTAATATACCAATACTTAAAATATGATCCAATTTATCCTTTGAACTGTTTACAAATAGGGTAAAACATTCTAGATATCAATCCAAAAATGTTCAGAGGAGTAGAGAGTTTTACGAGATTACTTTAGGGGGCACAGAAGCAAAAAAATTCTCAAGACAGCTACTCTAGGGTGGAATTGCTGGATCTTAATGTATTGAAGGTATTAATCTTTATGGGATAAAGTCAAGTTATTTCACAGGATGATTGTACCAATTTACACTCTCTCCAGAAATCCATTTTCTTTGCTAATAGGTCACTTGAATTTGCTAATGAGTTAGCTGAATTTCCCAGGAGTAGGAAAACATTTCTTTTTGCCAACTCTTCACTATTCATGGAGCTCTGCTCCTTGGTTAATGCCAAAGGCAAGAGCTTCATCAATTTTGACCTTCATGTATTCACCAAGTGTTTTTGCAACCCCCTAGCTTTGGTTTACACCGTTCCCTCCCCTGGATGCCCTCTCCATCCACCTGCCACCAGTCTATTACCTATGCTTCTGGTCTGATCTTAAATGTAATTTCTTCGGAAAGTCTTTCCACAACCATGCTCCCTAAAGTTTCCTAATTCTCCACCACAGAACCCTGTAGAGTTTATACGAGTTAGGAATGATATATTTGCTTCTTTGCTCATATGTTATCTATCTCTTCCACTGGATTGTAAGCCCCTTGAAGGCAAGAACTGTATCTGTTTTATTCACCTACCTATGCCCTATCATTTAGTATAGCTCCTGATACATAGCAAAATCTCCATAAATATCTACTAAATAAACAAATGAACGAATTTTTTTCAGACTGAAGCAGACATCATCCCTAATCCAGTCATTGGTGGCTTTGAGCAGGATGTGGCAGGTGTTTCCACGAATAAAAAGGTTATTCAGGTCTTTATGCTTCATTTCCATTTTGACCCGCTAAAAAGAATTCTAAAACCCTCTTCATATTACCATGCTTCCTCCTTTTTATTTTTTTCCTCCTCCTTTTTAAATTCCTTTTCTCCCCTCCCTGCTCTTTAAAGTCTCTTCATTATTCTTTTTTTTTTTTTTTAGCTCCTTCTGTACTATCTTCAATTCTAAGAAGATGGATAAATTTGGTAATTTTGCAAATGAAACAAGAACATTTCTCTTTGATTTTCCCCCCAATCTCCAGCTCCAAGTTTACAGGCAAACTTGGAATGTCAGGGATTGCACATGCAATTAATAGTGATGGAGTTCAAGATGTGATACCCAAAATAAGGCATCTTGGCATACTAAATATATTAAGCTAAGGGAAGTTGAGAAATGGCAGGTGCTGGACAGATTCTCTGATCTTGCCCTAAAGAAGACCATTAGACTTTCATAGGAGAGATGCCCTCCCTGTAACAAGATCCTTACACCCAAAGATTGAGAGAAATCTGAAGGAACAGGCCTCACAAAGTGCCCCCCCCCAGTTTATTACATTTAGCTCATATCCTTCTGCCTATCCCATTTCCCCCACTGCTTTGCAATCTTTATCAAACCTAACATAAAAATGCCCAGATCTTGGGATCCCTGGGTGGTTCAATCAGTTAAAGGCTGATTCTTGATCTCAGCTCATGTCATGATCTCAGGGTTGTGAGCTCAAACCCCATGTCAAGCCCACATTGGGCTCTGCACTCAATGGAGAGTCTGCTTGAGATTCTCTCTCTCCCTCTGCTCCTCCCCCTGCTCTCTCTCTCTCTTTAAAACAAATAAATATACCTTTTTAAAAAAATGCCCAGGTCTTATTTTCCTTATGAAGGCTTCCATGTCACATGAAGCTTACTTTAAGCAGATTTGTAGGCTTTTCTCTTAATAATCTGTCTTTTTGTACAGAGCTCTAGCCAGGAATCAAAAAGGGGTGGAAAAAAGATTTTTTTTCCCTCCCCTTCAATAGTTAAGATAAAGTCATCAAATCCTCAGGTACGAGACAATACTTCCCCATCTGTAATACAAGTTTCTTAAGTGTGCACTGTCATTCTAAGCCCGCATTTTACTTAATTATTTTTAAAAGGTTTTCTTTTTAAGTAATCTCTATACCCAACATGGGGTTTGAACCCACAACCTGAGATCAAGAGTCATGGTCTCTACTGACTGAGCCAGCCAGATATGCCGCTAAGCCCACATAAAAAAAAAAATCATTTGTGAGAGTGAAAGAACACAATTCTAAGTCTGTCTAAATCTAATTTCCAATTGTATTTATACTTATCCCTGAACCTCCCCTTTATGTTGTTGTGATTCTGTATATTCGAAGACGAATTTAGTGTTGATGATAACAATGACAACTCTACAAAGAGTTTCATGTTTATTATCTCATTTAATTTGATTAATATTAGACAGATGACTTCTAGGCAGGCCCTGGTAAGTCCTTGCAGGAAGAGAAGCTGGCAGGCAGCCCTGGTGGCTCAGCGGTTTAGTGCCACCTTTAGCCCAGGGCGTGATTCCGGAGACCCAGGATTGAGTCCCACATCAGGCTCCCTGCATGGAGGCTGCTTCTCTCTCTGCCTATGTCTCTGTCTCTCTCTCTCTGGGTCGCTCATGAATAAATAAAATCTTTAAAAAAAAAGGGAGGGGGGGAAGAGAAGCTGGCAGCAGCCTGCCCTGGTACTGAGAGCATCTCTTTCCACAGGGCTCTGGTCCTGCTGTCACCACCCAGCACCCACCAAGTCTATCCACAGCTTCTCTCACAGGCCAAGGGCTGCACCCCAGATCTGGCCTGGCCTGGAAGGGTAAGTTTGCTCTCTTGCTTGAACTGGGACATCCATCTTCTCCTGTCCTCAGACATCAGTGGTCCTGGTTCTCAAGCCTTTGGGTTTGGACCGGAACTTCCCCTTGGCTGTCCTGGGTCCCCACCTTGCAGATAGCAAGTTGTAGGACTTGTAGCCACCATAACTGCATGCGCCTTTCCCTCATAATGGATCTTTTTCTTTTTTTTTTGAAAAAAAGTTTTTATTTATTTATTCGAGAGAGCCAGCATGAGTGGGGGGAGGGATGGCGGGAGAGGGAGAAGCAGGCTTCCCTCTGAGCAGGGAGCCCAGTGTGGGACTCCATCCCAGGACTCTGGGATCATGACCCGAGCCAAAGGCAGCCGCTTAACCACTGACTGAGCCCCCCAGATGCCCCAATCTTTGTCTGTGTTTATGCCCTATTGCTTCTGTGTCTCTGGAGAACCCTAAGACAAGGACCAAGTATTTCAGAATCTGCCAGATTTAGGTGTGCTTTCCCACCCAGATCCAGACTTTATTTTGATTTTTTTAAAATTATAATTAGATAGGAATTAAGGGACACAAAAAGGCAGATACTAGCCAGAAGGTTTCACCGTCTCTTTATTTCTTGAAATAAGAGCACCAAGAACCCTGGGTATAACCTGCTCTCCTGCTCTCTGCTGGCAGGGATCCGTGTGGTCTAGGGTTCAGAACTGGCTCTGTTCCCATGGTCTCTGGGGACAGAGGAGAGAGGGGCTCTCCTCATCTGCCCCTGAGCCACTATATGCACAAGCGGGAGGTCACTCAAAAGAAGCCAAAGTGTTTTTGATGTGGGAAGGGGCTAGGAGATGTCCTGGCCTCTTCTCTGCTTTCTTCAGAGACTGTGGGCTGAATGGTGGTATCTATAACGATTCCCTCATCTCACAGGGAGCACTGAGAGCACTAGAATATGGGGTTATTTCCCCATATTCTATAATAGTGGCATTAAAAATATCTGTTTTTTTTTATTTTAAAGCTTATTTAAGTAATCTTTATACCCAACCTTGAACTCAAACTCACGACCCCAAGATCGAGTTGCATGGTCTTCTGACTGAGCCAGCTGGCTGCCCCAAGACAAGTTCTCAAATAAAAAAGGGGGGATGGGGAACAATTGTTAGTAGGGAATTGGCAAAGTATTGCATATGCTATTCCACTGCCACAAATACATGGTCAACAGCATGGTGGTTAAGTATTAGACTCTGGAGCTGGACTGCCTTGGTTCTGATTCCAGCTTTGCTACTTTTTGGCTATACATCCTTGAGAAAGAATCGTCACCCTCTATGTCTTAATATTCTCACTATAAAACAGGGATGATAATGACAGCACCAAACTCACAGGGCTGTGATGAGGATTAAATTAGCTAATGCACTACAGTGCTTGGAGCTGCACCCATGCACGTCTAAATGAGTGTTCCTTGTTGTTGTTGTTATTTAAAGATATTCTTAAGTAACCTCTACACTAAATGTGGGGTTTGAGAGACCCCCGTTGATCCCTTTGTGAGATCAAGAGCCAAGCATTCCACTGACTAAGCCAGCCAGGCACACCCTCCACCCATTATTATGATTGTTGTTGTTCTGGGGGGAAAAAACCCCACAGATCCTTGTGGAGACTTAGTTAAGAATAACAAACAGACAGTAGTCATGGTTTTCTTATTCCAAACTGGATGTCAGGCCCTGTCAAAGAGATTGAGTAATGTAGGAATCCCAAGAACCAAGGAAAGGCCAATAAAGGAGGCTTTTTGGCCAAAGAGCTTCTCAGGGGGCCCTCCAATCACACCACTTGGGCAGTTACTTGCTCTGCCTCCTTGTACCCCACTGTGATCTCTGGCACTACTCCACAGCTTAAGGCTGTGCCCATAATAGGTAAACAGATGGTTCTGGAAACCCCATTTCCAGCTAGATAGCCTTTAGATAGCCTGCCCTGGGTTTGTGCAACTTGACTGGAACTTTCAGGAAACCAGCAATTCCAGTTTACATTTGGTGAGTGTATGCTGAGCTCGGGTGGACAGCCGAAGGGCCTGGTGCCCCATCCCGTACCTTCACAGGAGACGCTCCCACTGCCCGGACAGGCTGGGGTCCCTGTCGTCAGGCTGCCCTGACCCTTCACACTATGTACAGAGCTCTGAAGTGTATGACGCCATTTCAAATGCATTCTCATCTCTCCCAACAGTTATGAAGTCACATGTTCTTTCCCCATTTCCTAGGCAGGAAAACAACAGGCAAAGAGGTAAAGAGAGCTGGAAGCCAAGCCTAGATTTCTCCTGTAAACCCTGGGCTCCTTCAAATACACCTCAGCTGCTTCAAACTGAACAGATCTGACTCTCTGAGACCTCAGCGAAAAGGTGATCTTTTTATTCTAAGTGTCAGAGCTCTTTGTCTTTTACTTTCATTCATCATTCTTATTTTGATAATTTAACCTCAAAAATTTAACCTCGAACCTAATCAAAATTAATTAGGCAAGATTCTCAAATATAAGGAGTTCCCTCTGAAAGGTGATACAATTTCCAAATTGTGCAATTTGTCGAAGGACGTCGTCAGTCATTCACGTTTTTCAACAGACATTTATTGAGCATCTACTTTACATCAGGAACAGTGTTCAGGTATGCTCTGGGGACTCACAGGAAAGAGGTGGGATCAGACAAATGAACAAATGAAAACAGTATAGCGAATGCTATGGCCCAAGAAGCACAAGGTGCTAGGGTGCTATGAGTAGGGGGGTAGAGAGGCAAAATTTGTTACCCCAAAATATGTCTCTTTGGCTTAAGGATTATTTTAGGTTGATTACTTTTAAGAAACAGAAGACTCAGGAAGAACCTTTGTTCTTCCCCCTAACTGCCTAAAAGAATTGAGATTGAAGACCTGCTCCAGGAAGGGAGTTATCACTATAGATAACTACACTATAAAATGAAGTAAGTGTTGTAGACACTGCTAAATTCCTGCGGATACTCTGTGTTTTGTTTTTTTTTTTAAATCTTCCTGTGGAAAAAAAAAATTAAAAAAAAATAAATCTTCCTGTGAATTGTCTTTTTTTTTCCCCCCTTTCAGGTCCCAGACCCCCACCTTCTTCTCCTCAGCTCTAGATGGCATATAACCCTCCATGCCTGACTGCCTGGGGGCCTCATAGTCCCAGATGGTAATCCTTTTTCCAAAATCATCTTTTTAGGGGCACCTGGGTGGCTCAGTGGTTGAGCATCTGCCTTTGGCTCAGGTAGTGATCCCGAGGTCCTGGGATCAAGTCCCCCACCAACTGAGCCAGCCAGGCACATCCTCTACCCGTTATTATTATTGTTGTTGTTTTTTCAAAAAAAAAAAAACAAAACCCGCAGTGAGCTCCCCACAGGGAGCCTGCTCCTCTGTCTGCCTATGTCTCTGCCTCTCTTTCTGTGTCTCTCATGAATAAATAAATAGAATCTTTTTTAAAAATCATCTTAAAAAGTATTTTATTTATTTATTCGAGAGAGAGGGAGAGACACGGAGAGAGCACAAGCAGGGGAAGATCCGAGGGAGAGGGAGAAACAGGCTTCCTGCTGAGCATGTAGCCCTTTGCTAGAATCATGACCTGAGCTGAAAGCAGACACTTAACAGACTGGGCCACCCAGGCGCCCATCCATCATGTTTAAATAAGATTCTATTTACCAACCTTTGGCTTGTCTGGTTCACTCCTGAAGAGTATTTATGTAGACTGGTTTCTCTGTAAAAGAGGTAACAAAATTAGGCAGTCTTAAAATGTCTGCTGCCAAAGTATAATGGCAAGAATGTTATTCATTTCCTAAAATACAAGCATTAGAGCCACATACACTTCTTGGTATAATAAATCTTTTTGTTAGGGTTTGCTCTACATACTAATCCATCTCTGATTCTGATAACTGAATTGCAGCTGCCATTTCTTGTCTAACTTTGGCTGTTTTCCTCTGAGCGATAATACCATTTTTTTTTTTGTATAAGTGATGGGATTTAATACTTTCATCAGGATGGGCTCATTGAATATTCATATTCCACTTATATTGTGCAGCAGCCACATGGGAAGTTGTAGTGGAATTTCAAAGCAGACGATAGTCACTCCAATGAGAAGACTGTTACGTGTGGGTGCTGGGGAGTTATAAATATGAGATTACACAAAGCAAATTCTATTTTAATAATGATCTATGCAAAATGGAAACAGGTGATTTTGAGCAGATGGTTAAAATCTTTATAAAGCCATTTTATTCAGAGAAAATTAAAGGTATTTAAAAGCCCTCATTTATTTTAGCTCTAAAGAGTTTTCTTGAAAATCAGAGATGAGTGTTTTTGGCGGAGAGGAGCTAAATTATGCAACTGAACATTTTAGAAGAATCGTGCCTTTTATTGCTCTCTTTTGCTTTTTCTCTCCCTGTGACCTTTAGTTTCTTCATCTCTTTCTCTTCCATCCTTCCTCTCCTGCTGTCTCTTTGTAGTATCTTGCATTGACCCTTCCAGGGCCTCATCCAAACTCACCTTCATTGTTACATTCTACTCTCTTCCCTCTCAGGGAAAGTGCATCAGAATGAAATTGGCAGGATCTTTTGACAGCTTGTCTTTACTACTGTGTTGCCAGAAAAGGGAAAAATGGCTATTTATACGGTCCATTTCCACAAGCTGCTGTTAAATTGTGGGCCAAGTTTCCTTTAAAACAATGATTAATATTTCTTGATAGACTACCTGGCAGACTGTACTGGACTCATCCAACCTACGAATGAATGAGATTTCCCTAGATTTGGGCAGGGTTCAGTTGAGCTTTCACTTGGGTATTTGGAAGTAGGTTTTTAATGTTGAATTATGTTTATGCCAATTGCAGAGCACAGGGCTCATAGTAATACATTGCATCATATAACTGCCATATTTTTGTCAAAAATGGTCAGGTATTAGCAGTGTTATGTTGTGCAACTTAACAGATACCCAATACATATTTGTTGATTAGAATTGAAGAGACTATGGAGATCATTCTATAAAGGATTTGAGGTGCCGGATACGAAATGGAGACACACAGTAAACTAACAAGACAATCCTATCAAAACCAAAGAAATTCTCAATTAAGCAGGAGGTTTAAACAAGGTACGTACACACACGTAAACACACTGAAAGGTCTCCATAACTGCAATGCTCTTGATATAAACTTAGAAGTTAGCTTTTGGTACCAAAGAATCGTGATGATGATGACCAGAACAACCAACATTTATTTATGACTTCTGTGTCCGGGTTGATGCTGCTTTATACACACTTTATATTTACTGCCTACCACAACCTATGAAGATCATTATTATCCCCATCTTACAGATGGAAAAGTTAAAAGGTTTATTATCTCGGAGGAGAAAACAGTCTAGTTTCTTGGAGATCCACTAAATTGAAAAACATTCTCGACCATGTCGTCAACACTGCTCAAGCAAATGTAGCTAGAGTTTTGTAAGGACATTCTTCTATTTTTATTTATTTTTTAATTTTTATTTTATTTATTTTTTTACATTTTTTTAAAATTGGAGTTCAATTTGCCAACATATAAAGCATAACACCCAGTGCTCATCCCATCAATTGCCCCCCTCAGTGCCCGTCACCCAGTCACCCTGCCCACCTCCCCATCCACCACCCCTTGTTCGTTTCCCAGAGTGAGGAGTCTCTCATGGTCTGTCTCTCTTTCTGATATTTCCCACTCATTTTTTCTCCTTTCCCCTTTATTCCCTTTCACTATTTTTTTATATTCCCCAAATGAATGAGACCATATAATGTTTGTCCTTCTCCGATTGACTTATTTCACTGAGCATAATCCCCTCCAGTTCCATCCACATCGAAGCAAATGGTGGGTATTTGTCGTTTCTAATGGCTGAGGAATATTCCATTGTATACATAGACCACATCTTCTTTATCCATTCATCTGTCGATGGACACCGAGGCTCCTTCCACAGTTTGGCTATTGTGGACATGGCTGCTAGAAACATCGGGGGGCAGGTGTCCCAGCGTGTCACTGCATCTGTATCTTTGGGGTAAATCCCCAGCAGTGCAATTGCGGGGTCGTAGGGCAGGTCTATTTTTAACTCTTTGAGGAACCTCCGCACAGTTTTCCAGAGTGGCTGCACCAGTTCCCATTCCCACCAACAGTGTAAGAGGGTTCCCTTTTCTCCGCATCCTCTCCAACATTTGTGGTTTCCTGCCTTGTTAATTTTCCCCATTCTCACTGGTGTGAGGTGGGATCTCATTGTGGTTTTGATTTGTATTTCCCTGATGGCAAGTGACGCGGAGCATTTTCTCTATGTGCATGTTGGCCATGTCTATGTCTTCCTCCGTGAGATTACTCTTCATGTCTTTTGCCCATTTCATGATTGGATTGTTTGTTTCTCTGCTGTTGAGTTCAATAAGTTCTTTATAGATCTTGGAAACTAGCCCTTAATCTAATACATCATTTGAAAATATCTTCTCCCATTCTGCAGGTTGTCTTTTAGTTTTGTTGACTGTTTCTTTTGCTAAGGACATTCTTTTAGTATCCCTCGCCAAAGATTCTCATGCATGAGAATCACCTGGGGACTTGCCCCTCATCCAAAATGTGGACCCTCTGAGTCTTTGTTCCTCAGTGTGGTCTTTATGACCACATTATCGGCCTGGTTGAGGAGCCTATTAGAAATGCATGATCTCAAGCCTCACTCCTGAAGGCATCAGGACCTTAGTTTAACAAGATTCTCAGGTGATTTATATGCATATTAAAGTTGAGAAAAGTGGCTTTAAGTGCAGAATGTTTGAATTCTAAATAGACTCCCAAGGTGATTCTGATGAAGGTGATCGCTGGTTAGATCATACTTTATAAAGCACTGCCCCGGGACATGATACCAAAATGTAATTCACTGAAAGCACTACTGCAAGCAATTTGAGAAGCCACGGGGTCACAGAGTCAAGACAACATAAGTTATGCATGCACAACAGTTGCTGTTGTGAGGTTCTGCCTAGATCCAATAATAAAACCGAGGATATTGGTAGGGCTTCCCCTACTTTGCCATCCCAACTGACAGAGGAGAAGGTATCCGTTACAGGAAGGGGAGTATCAGAATGGCCTACTTTAGACATGAAACTATTTTTTTTTTTTAGATTTTATTTATTTATTTGAGAGAGACAGAGACAGTGAAAGATTGCACGAGTCGGGAGGAGAGGAAGAAGCAGGCTCCCCGCTGAGCAGGGAGTCCCATGTGGGGCTTGTTCCCAGGACACTGGGATCATGACCCAAGCTAAAGGCAGACGCCCAACCACCTGAGCCACCCAGGTGCCCCGACATGAAACTACTTTTAGATACTGAAACTATATCGAAAAGAGTTGTGTGACTTT